TTGAACGCGTTCAAAGCAGTGCCGGGGCACTGCTTTCGATCGTCGCCTCGTCGCCGTTATAAGGGCTTTCGGATTACGGACACACCCACACCCAAGGGAGACGGGTAGTGGCTGTCTCGTCACCATGACCTTTCGGCAGTTTGACTACAGTAGTTTCCGATTCTCTCCGCATCTGACAGTCAAGGCGTCTCTTCATGAGATCTAGCTGAATCTGACACGGTTTTGTATGGTAGCCAGCCTGGCTGATGGCGTCTCCGATAGCGATCGGTTCGTGATTCAGGGTGACGCAGCGACCACTTCCTCCTCGCACAGTGCGACAAATTGGCGGACCTCGCGGCTCGCCATGGTAGGAGCGTCCGCTCAGTGCCCAAATCCGATTGGCGTACCATGCGCATCGCATGCAGGCAGCATCGCGCACTGCTTAGCTGAGAATGTATTGCTGTTTCCGTCTTCCAGGGAGGCCAAAGGTTTGAGGTGCGCCCGCGCGCGAAACCCCGTGCCAGGCCTCGCGGGGCCAAAGAAGCTGAACCGTCCGAGGGCTCACATGAGCTCCGACACGTTTGTCGGCCTGCGCCAGGTCGTGCGATTTGGCGATGTGCCTTTTGCAGGCAGGGCTCGAAGCGTGAGAGGACCCGCTCGTGTGCGTGCTGCCGAGGTCTCGTCCAGCGCCGCGCTCTTCTCTGCTGCGCCGTTGCCTGGTGACGCCGCAGACGCCCAGGATGGTGGTGGAAGGGAGCGGCGCGGATGGAAGTGGCCCTGGCCTTGCTGCCTGCGGTGACCACCCCTCCTCCTTCTCCGGCTTCGTTCGTTCGGAAAGACTTCGCCTTGGGCCTCTCGAGCCCAACGGACTGGCAGCGCCTTTTTCCCTGGCCTCCGGAGGTCCAGGGGCCCGTCGAGCGACGGAGCAGCGCGCCAGCTTCTCCCGCGGGCCAGCTTCGAGCCGATGGTGTCGATCAGAGACGTTGCCTCGACGGATAGGGATCAAGCAGTTGCTGACCTGCACCTCCCCGATGGGTTTGGGCCCGGTCATCAGCCTAACAAGAGCCGTAAGGTTGGTGGCCAGCACAGGGCTCGACCTGCTCTGGCGGCCACGACCGTCCCTGCATGTGCCATCCCGCGAACGGGCCCTGTCCCCGCCGCTGCCGGTAGGGGTCACAGACTCTGGGTCGCGTCGGGCCACGTTTGTTTGTGCGTTTCGTGCATGTGTTCGTGTTGTTTTGCATTTTTTTATCCACAGGCAACGCAGTGCACCTACTTGTTGATTATGTTGGCTTACGCCACATCCGCCGGCCCCTTGACTATATAGGTTTACGCCACATCAGCCGCGCGGTCCTGTGCACCATCGTTCACAGACGGCAGGTATCGGTCCAAAAACTGGAGGAGTGGTTCTCGAATGGCCTGCGGCTTATCCCGCTCATGCGATGTCGTGGGCGGCTTCACGTGGGCGTCTTGGAGGTGGTATTTGGATTTCTTGGCGGGAATTTTGGGGTTTTTGGTGGGTCCCTGGGGGCCTCCTGAGGTCCTCTGTGGCTCTCTCGGGGATGGTTGGGGCCTCTTGAAGGGTACTTGGGGCAGGCTGGGGATATATTTTGGGGCCGAAGGCTTGAAGTATCACCCTGTGGGGGGTTTCTCTCGGAGCCGGCGGCCGGGGGCCCTCTTGGGCTGTCTTGGGGCGTCGGGGCCGCCTTTGACTTGTTGATTGCCCCTCGCTGGTGGCTAACCATCGCTTGTCCGAGAGAGCCTCGCGTACGGTAGGTTTGCGCCGTGTCGACCAGCGGCGACCCCAGCGCGGGCGTTCAAGGTTGAACGCCGCCGGCGAGCCAGAATCGATCGACGTTGAACGATCGGACGTTGCGGAGACGGCCAATCGTTCAAGGTTGAACGATCCAGCGCGGTGTCAGGAACCAACGCCAGGGTCGACACGGCACGGACCTGCCGTAACCGTCGCCAGTTTCTTGCGGATTTTCATCCAGCGGACGAGGGCAGAATGAATTCCAGGCGGATCCCCGCTCCTCGTCCCCCCCACGTTCGGGGCCCAGGGGCCCTCTGGGCCAGGCTCTTGCAGAGCCGACTTGTTTCCCAACCGGATGGCGATGGGGACTGGTGCTGCGAGGGTAGAGCACCCGCCCAGGCGTGCGCCCCCGCGGCGTTTCACTTCTATATGTGTCCCCGCACTTCCCCTCTACATAGTTTTTGTGCCAGCGCCTGCCCCGTGATCCTTTGGTGGGGGCAGGCGGCCTTTTCTGGCGCCTGAGGGGGTCGGCCTCCCGACCCCCCCTTTGGTGTGCTCGCCTGGCGCGGGACACATGCGCGGCGCTCGCTAATGAAGTGCGGTCTCCTCCTCCCCCTCCTCCTCTTCCTCCTCCTCCTCCTCTTCTTCCTCCTCCTCCTCCTCCTCCTTCTCCTCCTCCTCCTCCTCCTCTCTCTCCTCCTCCTGCTGCTGCTGCTGCTGCTGCGCTGCGCACCAGCCAAAGTGAATGCTGCGAATGGCAGGGTGCTTCTCCAACTGAATCGAGAAACAAGATTATCCTGGCGAAGGGCCCAACCACGTGCAGTTGTGAGTACCGCGTTGTGGCACCGCTTTTGGTTGAGCTCCCTGTGGGGCCACGAAACGTGTGAGGGTTGTGTCAAAATGGGCGGGGTACTGCATGCGAACCCTGCCACCGAGGCCTTCGGTGGAACTCCCAAGGGAGCTACGAAACGTTTGAGGGGTGTGCCCGAGATCCGCGTGGAACCGCATGCGAGCCTTGCCACTGGGGCCTTCGGTGGAGCCCCCTTTACGGGGCCACGGAAGTTTCCAGAGATATGCCGCAATTGGCGGGGAACCGCATGCGAATCGGGCCTTCGATGGAGCCCCTTTATGGGGACACGATGCGTATGAAGGGTGAGTCGGAATGGGCGGGGGTCCGCATGCGAACCCTTGCGTTGAGGCCTTCGGTGGAGCTCCTGGTGGGGCCACGAAACGTGTGAGTGGTGTGCCGACATGGGCGGGGAACTGCGTGCGAACGCTGCCACTGAGGCCTTCGGTGGAGCTCCCCGTGGGGCTACGAAGCATGTGAGGGGTGTGCCGAGATGGGCGGGGAACCGCATGCGAACCCTGCCACAGGGACCTCCGATGGAGCCACTGTCTGGGGCGCGGCCGCGAAACGTTTGAGGGATGTGCCGAAATGGGCGGGGGACCGCATGCGAACGCTGCCACCGATGCCTATTGTGGAGCTCCCAAGGGGGCCACGAAACGTGTGAGGGGTGTGCCGAAACAGTTGCGGTAGGATGCGAACGCTGCCATTGTGGCCTACGGTGGAGCTCCCTATGGGGCCACGAAACGTGTGAGGGGTGTGCCGAAATGGGCGGGGAACCGCATGTATACCCTGCCACTGGGTCCTTCGGTGGAGCTCCCTGTGGGGCCACGAAGTGAGTGGTGTGCCGGAATGGACATGTGGAGGGCAGAGGCAAGTATGGGAGGCGGGATGAAGGAACGGGAGTAGGAGGCGGAAGCGGGGCGCTTTCTTGTCAAAACCAGGCCCCAGCACCACCGGATTTTTGATGGGAAATGCGAAAACATCACCTATATGACCACCCTGCGGGTGATAAGGAGGTTGGGGGAGGGAGGGGCCCAGCAATGAGCAACAGTGGTGATTGTTGTTCTGACGATGCCAGTGGAGATTGTTGCGTTGCCGCTCGCTCTTGGGAGCTTTGGTGTCGAGTAGTTTACGTCACCCTTCGCTGTTGGGCGCTTTGGTACCATCCCCTTTCCCCCGGGAACCTGCTCAACGGCGGCGAACGACGACGATGTTTTTTTTGTTTGAGGCCTGCTGAGGCCCCGCTCGTCGCCACGGCTTAACCAACGAAATTAAAGATTTCTTCCTTCATTTGCAAGGGCGGGGCACATATACGACTACCCTTCGGGTGATAAGGAGGTGAGGTGGGGGGGCCAACGTCGCACTCGATCGATCTCACTATCGATCTCACTATCGATCTCACTCGATCGATCTCATTTGATCAATCTCACAATCGATATCACTATCGATCTCACTATCGGTCTCACAATCGATATCACTATCGATCTCGTTATCGTTCTCACAATCGATCTCACTATCGATCTCACTGTCGATCTCACTATCGATCTCACGATTGATCTCACTATCGATCTCACGACGGGGCACCGACGGGACACCGCAGGACACCGACGGGACACCGATGGGACACCGGCGGGACAGCGGCAGGACACCGCGCGGCCCCGAACGCCGGGTCGCCAAGCATTTGGTCTGGCCGCGCCTCAGCCAAGGAGACTTTCTTCTCGCCCGCCCACGCAGCTTCGCCTCGCCCGCACGCACGGTACGCACGAACACGAAACCGAAATCGATTTCACGGTTGGGGGGGGCTCTCCTCTCTTTTCGATCTCGCCCCCCAACTTCCGATTTCTCGGAGGTCCGCGCGGATTTCTTGGATCGGCGCTGGATGCTTATGTGTTCTTCCTTTGCAAAGGTGGGAGAGAGAGAGAGGGAAACATCGTGGTGGGTGATCCTGCTCCTGCTCCTCATCCTGATCATTCCGTTCCATCTGCGTCCGTGATCTGTGGCTGCCGCCGCCATTGCCGTCGTCCTCTTTCGTGTCGTTGCGTGCGTTCGCCTGTCGTTGCTGGGTCGTCGTCGTCGTCTCCGCCGTCGTCGTTCGCATTCTCTCCGTCGTCGTCGTTGCCGGCCTTTCTCCTTTCCTGGTTGGACCTCGTGCCCTGTTGCGGGTGCGAACGAGTCCTCCTCCTCCTCCTCATCCTCCTCCTCATCCTCCTCCCCTCCTCCTCCTCCTCCTCCTCTTCCTACTCCTCCTCCTCCTCCTAAGCCCCTACTGCTCAGGCCTGAGGATATTGCGGGGCTGCCTGCTCCGATGACTTGGAAGTAAGTCCGCTCCGTCCTGCGCGAACGAGGCCAACCCCAGAGTCCTAGAGTCCTGTCTCCTCCCTCCCGACTGCCACACCGATGGCCCGCCCCGTCCGCCTGCAGGTCTGAAGACGCGCATCGTGGACAGCGACCTGTCGTGCCTCGGGCCTGGGAGGGTGAGAGGTGGGAGGACAGCGGGGCTGCAGGCGGAGGACACCACGGTTGCACGGGTGGTGGGGCGATCGGGGCATCCGAGCAAGAGCTTCCGATGCTGCTGAACCTATCCGTCTGCATGAAGCCTCTGTAGCGGCTCCAAATCTCGAGATCGAGTCGAATAACCAAACATTTGCCGCAAAGAGTTGCAGAGTGCGAATCGTGTTTCGGTCACGAGTAGCAAACCAATCTCGAGCAGGAGCAGGACGGAGGAAGAGGGCGACGAGGTCGGGAGGAGGGCGCAGGGAAGTGGGCGAAGGAGGGGCGGGATGCCAGGCGGGCGGGACGGGGAACGAGGCATCGAGCGCGAGGGGCGGCACGCACACGCAACGCGCACACGCACACACAACACACAGACACACACACACACACACACACACGCACACTCCCACACAGACGCACACACACACACACACACGCACACGCACACGCACACGCACACCCACACACGCACACGCACCCCCCCCCCCCACACAGACGCACACACACACACACGCACACCACACACACACACACACACCCACACCCCACCCACACCCCACACACACACACACACCCCCCCCCCCACACACACACACACACACACACACACACACACACACCACACACACACACACACACACACACACCACACACACACACACCACACACACACACACACACACGCACACACGCACACACACACACACACACACACACACGCACACGCGCACACGCGCACACACACGCGCGCACACGCACACGCGCGCACACACACACACGCGCACACACACACAGACGCACACACAACCACACACACACACACCTCACACGTGTCGTGGCCCGAGCGAGGAGGAGGCAGGACGGAGAGGGATACAGTGGAGAACCCTGCCCAAAAACACCCTGCTTGCCTTCAGGTTGCCCTTTGTTTCTTGGGTTTCGATGGGTTTCGTCGTCGACGACGACGACGACGACGACACCGACGGCGCTGGCGGCAGGCTGTGGTCCCCAACGCCCATCATTATCCGCCTGTGTTTCCGCTGCTTCTCGGTGGATGTCCAAGAGGCCTCCCACCGTTGCATACACCGACCCAGGGTGTCGTGAGCAACTTGCTTTCGGAAACGTCGGCCCAGATTCCCAGACCACGGCATCCGAAACTGTCCTTGCACAATTCGCGGTCGTCGAAGAGCGCCCTGACCTAATTGCAGACATCGCAGCGGCTCAGTTTTTGACGGCGCATTTCTTCTTGCAGCCAGGTGTGATATCGGAGGGGAGTTCATGACGGCCTTGAACACCGAGATATTCCTTGCGGTCGCGCCCGCCCGCATCCCAGGCTTCGCCCGCGTAGCTCCGCGTTCGCCAGCTTCGTCTCGCGGTCTGGGCCGCCTAAACCCAAAACCCTAAACCCTAAACCCTAAACGAGTTACCCTCTCCAGGCTGCGGTGCCAACAAGCCGCGAAGGCGGCACGCCCCGCGCATATCGCGCGGCGCCAGGCAGACCCCAAAAGCCCCCGAGCCAGGGGCAGGAGGGGGCGAGCGGACCAGTAGCGAGCGTTGGAGCTTTATAGGGCGCCGCAGGCGAGTGTTCGCGGGTCCGCTGTCCGAAGGATTTCAAAAACAACCCAGTGTTTTTTTGTTTTTGCAATCCAGTGTTTTTTTTGCAATCCAGTGTTTTTGTTTGCAATCCTTCGGTTTTTTTTGCAATCCTGGTTTTTGTTTGTTTTTTTGTTTCGCAATCCTTGGTTTTTGTTGCAATCCTTCGCGCGTCCACGCGTGTTGGCAGATGAGATGCAGTTCTTAGCTGGCAGCCGTGCTGGGAGCGTGGAGCACAGCTTCGTGGGGCCGTCCCTTGCCATGTGGTCCCTTCGTTGGGGTCGTACCAGGCGGTTCCTCCGAGTTTCTGAGTCACCCTGAGCCCACAGGCCTTGATGTACAGTCAACGCTTTGGGATAATGTTCACAGGCTTCGGAAGGGGTTCGATGTTCCTTGAGCCCTTTCACGGCGTCGGCCATTTATGCGCAGTTGAGGCCCCAAAGGGGACATAGTCCTCGTCCAAATGTCAATGTAGCTACAGAATGACTGTATGGACAGATGCTTTGCACGAGCGATTTGTGCATCTGTTGTCGTGTCCTTCGCAGGCGGCTGGTAACTGCCGTTGCGTCGCGCCGTTGCGCGAGTTCTCGCGAAGGCATGCCGAGCAGATGAGTGAACGATGTGCGCCTCGTGGCGATATCTCCCGCATGCAGCCAGCAGCTGCTGCGGCGTGGCGACGCCGCGCGGGCTCGCCCAGGGGCAGGTCGAGGACGACGGCCGATGTGTCGGAGGCACACCCGGTCAGTTTTGTTTGTCGTGCGGGCGCTGATGTGAGAGAGCGAAGGACGTGGGAGAAAGAAGGGTCGTTCTGGCATGCCGCTTCCATCCCTGGACACCGTAGCCTTTGCTGCGCGCGGCGTCAGGTCTGGAGCCGCGGGCGCTGATTTGAGAGAACGAAGGACGTGGGAAAAAGACGGGCCATTCTGGCATGCCGCTTCCCTCCCTGGGCACCGTCGCCTCTGCTACACGCGGCGGCAGGTCTGGAGCCAGGTCTTCAGCGACAAGCGGTACCTCGGCTTCGAGTGGACCGATGTGCTTCCGTTGCGCGCGGGGGGAGTCCGCGTCGGCGGCGAGCAGCAGGGGTCAGAGCGAGGTTTGCGGCCGTCTGGGAGGCCTTCCCCCCCCGCCCGTTGTGACGGCGAGGGGCGCATGGCTCTCACGGGGGCCGATCGCATCTTAGGAACAGTCCTGTCTTCTCAGCAAGCCGCCCTGCGTCGCCTCGCCTCGAAGAAACAAAGGCAGATGCATAATCATAAACGTTCGAAGATCAGTTCGGACGTATTGGATCGGCGCTGGAGCCCCCGCCCTGCTTGAAGGCCTGGTGGAATTCTGAACTGTTAAATAGGGGGTGATCAGTTAGCGATCAAGCTCAGCTCTGAAAGTTGTCATATTCTCTCGATTCGGGACAGCACGTGCTTTTGTTGGTGGGGTTGCGCTGTTTTCTAGAAGCGGTGTAGGTTGAGTACGTTGGAGATGACTTGATGAATATCGGGCCGCTGATTTCCGTGCGATGATCTTCCAGGGGCGGGAGTTGCGTTCCAGAATATGCATGGCTTTGCAGAGTGATTGCTTTCTGTTCGCAACTCTTAGACTCATCTACAAGTTGTGCGGTACACGACTGGCCAATTGCAAGTAATTTATGGCGTTATGACGTCATGAATTCTCAGTTTTCCTAAGAAGCGTCGTTGTAATTTTGAGCCGCCGAGTCCTTCACTTTAGCCTAAGATTGGAGTGCGTTGCCGTCGCAAGGTCGCACCAGTTACGGAACCACACTTGAGCGGTGATGTGCCTCATGTCAATTCCAAGCACAGCAGTGCCGTTTCGACTCAACAGTGTGACGTTGTGGTAGGCTTTGTTGTTGGAAATTGTTGATTGCGTCTACGGGCGCAAATGCGTAAGGGTTGCGGCCAGCTTCTTGGGTGTTGTAGCTGGCTCATGCAATTCCGCACCGCAGACGTGTTTCGAGTCCTGGCGTTGCCCGGCCAAACGTCGGAGCATCAAGGGATGCTCCTGGGCGCTTTATGAACATGTTGCGTACCGTAAACACTGCGGCAACCTTCTCCTGGCATCGCTCGGACGTGTGCCTTTTTTTCTTGGCGAGAAACATCCAGGACCATCCTGGACCATCGAGCAAAAAAACACGCACGAAACCGAACAATGCACGGGAAATGGACGTCCGAGCGACGGCAAGTTGTGCATATCGGGCAGGCGTGTGGCCATGTGGGGCGTGCGCGCCTACCTCTTCTGCAGTCGCGGGCCGTCTGGTGCAGTCGCAGCTGCCGCACCACAGTGGACGTGAGCTCCTCGTGGCTGACGTTCATGCCCTTGGACAGATCAACGACGCGCGTCCAAGACGCCAACCAAAGCCGGGAGGCTTGACACCTCTTCAGCGCACGCTCTCGCTTTGCACGACCGAAATGGGCACGGAAAGAAGGGGTACAACGCCTAACAGCGGATCTTTTTCATTTTGAACAGGACTCGCTGTCCACGCCGCCGCGGCCATGTCCATTCGAGACAGAAGGCCGCCTGCCCAACAGCGGTCGCTGTTGGTTTGGGACAACATTTGTTGTTGGGCATTGTACCCATTCTTTCCGTGTCCATTTCGGGCGTCCAAACTCGCGCGTGGAATTTTGTCGACCAACTCCCTGAAGTGATGCGCAAGCGGGGGAGCCCGCGGAGGCGCTCGCCAGGGCTGGGTGCTCACAAAAGACTGGTTGGCCCTCCGTGGCCGCGTGTAATTCCGGAAGTACGAAGTGGTGTCGTCGCCGCTGGTGGGGTTTGAGAGCACTGTGTTGGCGAGGGACGCCTTGACCTGCCACCCACGATGTATACGTGCACTTGGCAAAAACACAATGGCATCACACCATACCCACATGGGGGTCCAAGGCGACGCGCGTCGGGTTTGTAGTTCCACGCGTTGTGCTGTGATGTTCTTCACTTGGCCTCGTATATCTCGCTCCGCTCGAAGCGCTAGGAGCTGGAGTGCAGCCTACCCAGAATTCCAACGACGGTTGCGCTTGTGTTGAGACCCCTTCGTTCCTCACCCGACAGGTTGGGGTTTTTAGATCTTATAAACAGGCCTCCTGGCCCGCCCGCCCTGCACACCGCGGCCGCCAGATCCCCAGGCTCCTTCTAGTCCCTGGTGGCCCTGCCCCCCCCCCGCCCTGCATGCCGCGGCCGCCGGATGGCTCCCGATGATCCCTGGTGGGTGGTCCCGTCCCGCCCCCGCCCTGCATGCCGCGGCCGCCAGATCCCCAGGTCCTCCGATGATCCCTGAGGGTCCCGCCCCCCGCGCCGACTCGCCCACTCTGCTCACAGCGGCCGCCAGATCCCCAGGTCACCCACAGAACATAGCATACACCACACCATCGAACAGAGCATATCCGATCATAACATGCCATATCATGACATACCAGATCGTATCATAACACACCGTGACAGCAGTGCATACCATAACACAGCATCGCATCACATATCATCATATAGCATGGTAAAGCAAGCACACCATAACAAACCAACGCAGCACCGACCATACCAAAGCAGATCATGTCCCAGTATGTCATATAATGGCATAGTACATCATAGCACAACACAGCATGCCAACGAATGATATGACCTATCGGAGCGCACATGCCATAAAATAACATATCATATCATACCGTGGCATACCACATCACCACATACCATACCATGACAGAGCAAACCACACCAGCACACATCATCACATCATGTACAATTGCATACAATGACGAATCATAGCATGGCATCGCGCAGCATGATATGCTATGCCAAACCATAACATATCATACCACCATACGCCATGACATAACTGGATTCACAGAGCATTGGATACCACCACTCCTCACAGCATAAGACAAGAGAGCATATGATGACACACCGTGGGGATCGTTCGGTGGGGATCGTTCGAAGAAACAGTGTTTGATCTAGGGATGCGTCTGACACGTACTGCTCCGATGGATCAGTTTTGCAATCGCAGTGTTTAGAAGTTGCAGTGTTTCTGCATATGGCACACGGCTTGGTCTCTGCACGCCCACTGCTCATGGGGCTTTCTCGTCACGCATCCTCGTTTCGAGTGGTGCGTTCCACCGTCGCGACTACTATTGCGTGCGCCGTCGTGTCACTTGGCTCAGACATGTCTAGCGTGACGCCTGTGGCTACGATCTTGACACCGACAGCCGCGGTGCTGACGAACAGCTGCTTCAGCACAATTCTCATCCCGTGGCCGATGCTTGGAGGCATCTGCCTCGCCATTGCCCTTCTGGCAGCGCAGAGCATGGGTCGCGTGTTCTCATAGGATAGATGCGCGTCAACCTCAAGGACCGACAGGATGATGGCGTCTAATGCGCGGTATCCCCTGCCCTGACCGAAGGGTGCGCACGGGGAAATGCCTTCGAAGTAAATGCGTTCCTGCCACGGCTGACACATGCAGCGTGGGTACTTCTAGAGTTGGCGCCGCATCGAGGCTCCGAAACCGATGCTCGTCTTACGCGTCGAATGCGACGGACTGACGCAGCAATTTCCGACGTTTGCATGCGCATGCCAATACACACGCACACAGCAATGTGTTGTCTCTGTGGTTGCGACCTAGTGGTGAAAAAAATTGTGTAAAGCGTCTGATGGCGTCGGACACCCCCGCGGTCTCTCATGCATTGAAAGACGTGCTGAACGCCCCTCTCGGTCATGCAGGCGGTGTATCTCGACGGGGTCCTCGGTCTCTACCTCGGGGCGACTTCGCGAGGAGGAGGAGGCGGAGGCGGAGAAGAGGAGGAGAGGAGGACGGAATGAAGGGCATGGGGGAGGCTAGGAGAGGGAGGAGAGGAGGAGGAGGAGGAGGAGAGG